GATGTAACCTCTGCCCCAAACCGTCTAGTGCGACAATCCCAGCCCAACCTTTCATTCAGTCTGAGGACGGGCAGGTGTTATCTACTCACAACCTGCTGGGTACAACTCAATTTTCCGAATATCTTCTTTCTTTTCATCACCTCAAAACATATTTGAATTATTCAGGGCAGGGTGACGGCAACAGGGGTCTATGAAGACTTGGTCCGTCAGGGAATTAATTTCTCCGAATTGACGAAACGCCCAGAGGAGCATGATCAGAAGGCCTCTGAAATCGCTCAATTTAAGGCAGTTGAGGCTGGGACCAGTACGATCGTAATTGAATCTACCTACGACGAAGTCAGTGCTGTGGCGGCCACTGAAGAACAGGAGACTTCTGACATAGGGCCAGATCTTGTTCTCAATGACGCAGAGCTGGATGTCCGTTCCGAGGCTGTTCGTACGCAGGTCACGCAGCGACAAGAACGAAACTCTTCCGCACAGAACCCTGATTCAGCCGACGATGCCGTTACAACCAAGGTATTTTTTATTTTCTTGTAATTTAACGTCATTTCGCATTTGACGTTGATGATCTGCCCTAAACCATGTATTAAGTTATGACCTTATATGAGTTGATCACACGCGGTCCCTCTGCAGCTTCGGACGTAAGATTTGTTTACTCGGTCGAGGGTTCGACACCTGAATAGGTATTTAGTGACCCAACTCCGTGCGCACGTGTACCAGCGACTGCTAGCAAGTGCGCAAGAACCTGTGCTTGCCTACTCCAATGCGGTCTGGCCAATCGCCTTCAAGGCTGACTCACGCAGGAGTGTATAGTAACGGCTGCCATGACCACACACTTCGGACACCGGCCCTCTCTCGGGTGTTTATGAACTCATCTGACTGCCACCTTCCTCCAGCCTGTTCTCAAAAACCTCTGTAGAGAATGTACTATTCCTCCTACTACTCCCCTTCCCGTACGCAACCGGACGAGAGGCTCGCAGCGGCTAGGGTATCCACCGTTAACTAAAACCACTGTGATAGGTACATCTCCGTGTGACAGATGCCCCTAAGTCTCAGTGTGGTTCCTAACCTGACCACCTTCTCAATCTAACGCAAAAACAGCCGAAACACGAAAGATGCCTATTACCGTCACCTATCGTCTGCAGTTCTAAGAGTCTTTGAGGACTTAGGCAAAATTCTGCAGAAGTGAACACTGACTTATACCTGTTTCTTGTGGTGGGACCTATTACAATCCTGGGCCTTTGAAGGTGCTACCTTGTGCATCTGTTAGGTTCAATATACTTGGCCCGACCTAATTTGTTTCACTGATCCCGAGAACCACTTGCCTTCTCATATAGA